TTGTTGTTGAGATATCTATAATCTGACAAATTGTATATATCAATGCACATTTGTTAAAACTGAGCTCTGGGGCCCTCCCTGGTGGCACAATGGGTTAGGACTCAGTACTGCAAGCCAGCTGCAGCCACTTCAGTGCGAGTTCGATCCCCAAGCCGGGAGGTGAACCACATGGCATGGCAGACCTCTCTTGACACACCCACTGCTCCCCTCAGCAGTGTATTTTGTCCATCTGTCTGTTCTGCTCCCCACTCTATCTCTGGTGAAGCCTCTCAGGCTTCCTGCACCTCTGGCTTGTACCCCAGTTCTGTATGCATAAATAAATAAATCTTAAAAAAAAAAAATAAAAACATTTAAGAAAGCATTCTGCTTTAACACTAGTTTCTGTAAATCAGGATATTAATTTTGGGGCTTCCCTGATAGCCTAGCAGTTATGTTTCAGCACTTCACTGCTAAAGCCTGTGTTTGATCCCCCTCCTGGAAGCAACCCACATGGTATAGCAGACCTCTCCAGTCTCACCATTGCTCCCCTCAGCAGTGTGTTTCAGCTAATCTGCCTGTTCTGCTCCCCACTCTGTCTCTGGTGAATCCTCTCACACACACCTCTGGCCTGTACCCCATCTCTTGTATGCATAAATAAAAAAATCTTTTTTAAAAAATCCAAGAAGTTTAAGAAGCAAGTCTTTTGACTTAAAAAATATTAGAGCTGAAATAATATATAAAATTTAAGATCACAAAATCAATTTCTTTGCAGCAACAACCAGAATCCCTAACCATTTGTCTCGTTCTAATAATTACATAATTTAAGCACCATATTTCATATGCTCTTATTTTAGAAACTGCTCTCTTACCTGAAATTATCTTTTACAAACTTAAAAGTACAAACTTCAAAGGGATTTTCTTTTTAGTCTACAAATCTTGATTGAAGTGGGCAACAAATATCAATGTGTATTTCACATTAAATTTTCTCATGTCCAAGTTGCCCTTGGTACATAAAACTGGAGAAAAAAAGAAGACAACATCAGTAATGATGACAACTGATTTGGACCAACAGAAATGAATAAAAGAAGACAACCCAGGGGGGAAGAGAACCAAGAGATGTACAAGTTAAAAACAACAAAAACAATTTCAAGAGAACATCAAGTAAAACCAAAAACACAACTTTTCTAGGATAAAGGCTAGCATCTTTTTTAACACCAACTTGTAAGTGGAAACTTACCTGGACAATGTAGTCAACTAGTCAACTAACACTACATGCAGCTCCCAAACTATATAATGCATATGATATAAAAGTGGATCCTACTCTACACAATCTAAATCTAGAAAAGTCTTAAAGACATGAGTCATTAGAGCATCAAATACTAAACTAAGGAAAATGAGTAGAAATGCAATAGGAATTCAGAGAACTAGACAGAGAAAACAAGAATTTAAGAAGAAGTGAAGAAAATTACACCAGAGGCAGGTGCTTAGCAAAGTCAGAATGATAAAAATGCATTTGGTATGTATGAGAAACAATGAGACACATACACTGAAGGGAACCAAGAACTAGCTGGAGAATAGAAGAAAGTTAAGCTAAATAGTAAAAGACCAAATCACAAAGACTCTGAAGGACAAGTATGGACTTAAGTACATCAAAAACAAAGGTGTTAAATGCTTTTAAGTAGATTATGTTTAAAGACCTCTAGAGACAAACTCCTTTCTTTGTTTAGCATCCAAGTCTATCCTGTAAACCCTTAAATGTCTCCATATGTAATAACAATAGTTGTAGTGTAATTCTCTACTCTCCTTGTTCTTTTGTCATTTGATTTGATGCTTAGCACAATATGCAGTCACTGAGTTCCTCTACCTTCAGTAAACATATATAAATCTAGATATCACAGAAATTTTCCCCACTATCAAAAAATAGAAAATATCCATTTGGTTTGATTTGTTAAGTTATTTGGGAGTCTGGGAATGTTATGAGCATTAATTTATAGGCAAAATTCTATGCATTCTCAGGCCCTAAAAGAATAACTTACTAAATCCAATCAAATGGTACTGTTCTACTTTTAGGTAGCAGAGGAAATCCCTCTGTGTGTGTGTGTGTGTGTGTGTGTGAATAAATTCCTAGAGGTTAACTAGTTGTTTTAAATAATCTGCTCCATTCTAGCTCCTAAAACTACTTCCTCTCTGGGTGATGGAGTAGAGAAGAGAGTGGGTCATTCACTTATTTCTTAAAGTTTTATTGAGTAGGTAACTGGGCATGGTACCATCAAACCCACTTCCTTTCATATACAGTAATAAAACCTATTACCCCAAAGACTCCATGCAAATGTCTCTACTTGGGACACTTTGATTTCAAACAAACATTTCTAACACTTCAAAAAAAAAAAATCTAGCTCTCTTACAAGTGTCTTTAATATTCTTCCACAGCCACACACACTTATCCCTTACACCTCTCCTCCCATTTTTCCTCCTCAATATCAACTAATTTTTTTAATAGGATTACACATTTTTCACTCAGTGGAAATTTTCTTACTAACAATATAGAGGGTTAAGATCCTATCAAGAAGTGAAGATAAGTCTGTGTATGTTACATACATACACATAGTGACTAACTGCAGTTTCCTGAATGAAGAATATATCACTGCTGGTATTTTGAACACTAAAAGAACTATGAAGAATCAAAACTTAGCCCAAGATTTTCAGCTAACATATTTCTGAATCACAGATTTATGTATCTCATTAAAGCAAGTAGTCAGAACATACAAATCTTTAACTGATGACTCATGACACAGAACCAGTACCCTCATTGCAACACATATATATTTTCACACTTTAAAATGTATATATATTCTCAAAAGTATCTTTTGTAATAGGTTAATTTACTAATAAGTAAAAATGCTGTATGTCCAGAAAAAAATAATCAAAATTATTGAGGCTTGAAATTATATAATAACTAACTTAAGGAAATGAGGGAAGACTAGAGGTGCAGGAGGAGGGGAGACTGGTAGGCAAGGAAGGTGGTGAGGTTGTTGAAAAGGAGAAATTGATTATAAAAAGTAAAAATAAATGGGCTAATGAATGGTTAAAATAGAGGGAGATTGACTTCAGTTAAAAATAAGAAATTTTCATAACTGAAACTGGACAAATGTGGAATGTCTGTTCAATGGAAAGATGTTTCCTATCCCTGGAGAGGGAAAGATACAGACTTGACAATTCACTTGGCAGGAAGGATGACAGACAAATTGAATGTAATATGGAACTACAACAGAAACTTGTATTCTTCCAAAGCTACCACTGGGGCCCTAAAACATCCATCCCAGGGCCGCATCTGATCCCACTAATGTTGTCAAAGGGAAAGAAAAGAAACAAATGTGTTTCTATCATCCTGACCAGGAACTCAGAACCCAGGTCCTGTGGAAACAATGCCATAGTGAATAAATACAGTTCACAGAATCAGAACTGTGCCACAGGTAAGTTAAATATATTTTTTATGAATCTAAATGTCAGTCAACATTGTCTCTGCATCAGACAATGTTCTACAAACATTGGTCCAAACAAATTTTTGAAACATATGTGTTCATTAGCCCACCTCCATTATCTTCCCTGTTGTACTATTATTTCATGTCCATGAGTCTCACTTCCCTATAGAGTTCCTGGTGGACAGGACTATTGTTATATATTTCTATGTCCCCATTGATCTTCAGCAGGCTGCCTATTAAAAATTCTGCTTCTTCACTCAATAGACTAAGCTCAGTGGAAAATCACAAAATTCTATATTTAAGGAGAGAAAGTATTGTAAAAGCTAGAAAATAGGATACTCAAGCTTGAGTTCAGACTCACTCCACATGTAACCTTGAGCCAGTCAATTAATCTTTCCAATTCTGTTTTCCTACCTACAAAACGGTGGTGCTGAGGATCATCAAAAATATTCCAAGTAAAGTACATGGCAAGTGCTCCATAAATGCTTGAAATAATGCACGTAAAAAGTTCCTGGTGAATATTAAATAAGGTCTGTTCCGTTCCCTATTACATTTATTTTATGCAAAATGCAAATACAAGGGTTGACTACTTTTTATTTCAAATATGTACTGCAACTTCTCCTTTTCCTGTCAGATTTTAACACAACTAAGTTTGTGAAAAAAATATATACCAGAAACTATATTAATGAAATAAGGAGAGTGGCATGGATAGAAATCTGCCTCTTCCACAGTTCTCCAAAGGTGTTCAACCGGCTAGAGGAACCACTGATTTTTCTGTAGTACAACAATAGTGTTCTGAACTTACGTCAATTGAACACGTCACACTGCCTAACATTTCTTCCTCTGAGAGCCCACTCCGTTTCCCTTTGATCACCCTTAAGTACACCTAAGCTTTGTCCGCCCATTATCTGAAACTTTACTTCCTAGGCCCTGCTTCTCACTCCACCGGAGCACAATACATCCTGACGGCGCAGGAAAAGATGAGCAATATGATAGCACAGGAAAAGAGGGGCAATCTGATAAGGCAGGTTCAAAATTTACTTGGGATAGCATATTCGTGGGGTCCCCCATACAGCAGCTGAGGCTGTCCAGCCAGAGGCCCCACAATGAACCGCCCTACTCAACTTAAGTGACAGACGCTCCGCCACCTCATCAGCGCCCAGTTCCCAGTTACACCTAAGACTCAGTCCCACTTGCTCCGCGCAAAACCAACTGCCCTAGTCCCTGATCCTTTCGCTTTCTGTTACCATCTCTACAAACTTTGCCTGCTCCAAAGTTTGCAAAAGGGACCCCGACCCGAACCTACCTGGGCCAGATGCTCTTCAAATGCCAAGCCTGGAGTCATGGCGCATGCGCATTTCCAAGTACTGTTCATGTGACAGAAAGTTGCTGGATTTTAGTGCTCTCGGTGTTTGATTATAAAGTCTTAACCAGAGCAAAAGTCGAGACTTGCTCCTTTGCGCATGTGCTCACTTCGAGCCTGATGGGAGTCGTAGTTTGTAGGTGACCAGCTACGACGAACACGAACGCAATCTCCGCCCTTCTCTTAACCTGCCGGGAGTTCGTAGAGCGGGGAGGCGGGCCCAGCGCGCGCAAGCCGGGCTCACAGCACCGCTCCTGGCTATGCTGCACCTATGGATGTCAGTTGTAGCAGCCGGGGTGCTGGCAGTGCCAGCCCTGGGGGCAGGTGGGAAGAGGCGGGGTGCAACTTGGGTTTGGTCCGTTGCGCCTAACGTGGTGCTAGTCGCGAGCGACTCCTTCGTAAGTACGCAGAAGCTGAAACTGGGAGGGGGAATCCGGCTCCAGACTTGCGACTCCGCCCACAGCCTTTTAAACGTGTTTTGCGCCGAAACAAAGAAACGCATTTTATTTTGAGGTCCTGTATACTCATATCATATACACATGCGTATATCGCATGTAAACAATACGGTAAATAAAATGCACGGATGGAGTCTTTGCAAAAAAAAGAAAGAGGGAGGGAGATCGGGCCTCCATCCACTCGATTATTTTGCCACTATTAACGAACTTTCAGCCCATGCCCTAGTTTGATTCAGTTGTGAAGAAACAATGATAGTCCGCTTTCCAGTGGTCATTTCCCAGTGTAACTCAAGTTTGCAAACTGGATATTTGGTGAGAAGAAAGTTTATTCCTCAGGTATCAGATAATCTTGCTTCTGCTGATTTAAATATATTTGTTGATATAATTTTGTCCACTCACCCATATTCATGAAAAATGTGGGGGATTAGGAGGGAGGATAGTGCGTAGTGATGGTGGTGATAGTGGTGTTTAATCCCAGACTGGAAGTTTTTAAAACTTTCCCAAGTCATCTATCAAAATAATATTCTCTCAGCATTGCCTGATTCTTTTAGTGTCACCCGTGTTTTAATGACTACTGCTTAACTAAATATGTGGTTATTAATATAATGGCTTATCATTGCCTGTCATGTAGATCATTGTGTGTAAGCATGTCTGGCCCCAGAAGACTAATTTGCCTTTCTCATCGATTAACCCTTGGTGATTAAAGTTACATAACCTGGATATGTCCATAGGATGCGATGAACATATTACTTAAAGTAATCTTTATGATTATCTAAACTTAGAGAACAGACAGTACTGGAGAGTAACATGAAAAGGTATATTAGGAAGTACTCTTGTGATCAAATAAAAGGAAAGAAGTAGGAGACTGTAGAGACATGTTGAGTTGTCTCAGTAGAGACCTCAGCTGACCTTAGTAGTAGTTCTCAAACTAGTAAGATGCAGCAGAATTTTTTCCACTTTTGAAGGAATCATACCCTCAGGTTAGATGGTCATTAATTGTGGCCAGAGTGGAGATTGATCCTGAGCAAAGCAACACTCTTCAGTGGAGACAATCTTTCATTCCTAAGAGGGAATCTGAGTAGTACATAACAATGGTCTAGAAACTTCCAAAGATGACTTAAAATAAGTTTATTTTTTGGTATAGCGTGAATATATAGATTTTTTACATTTATGTATAGATTCATAAGTATTATATGCAGATTGATGTCTTTTATGAATATAGAAATCAAGATGCTCAATAAAATACAACATATCCTCAAATAATGTTTCATTCAACATTGTTTATGACATGGATTAGGAAAAAGAATCCTGGCCATTGTTGAAATTAACATTATTTAAAGGACCACTTTTATGTGCTATTACACTTAAAGTTACAGTTTCCAAGAACCTATCAAAGATATTAAGTGAGGACTTACTGTGCTAGCAAATCAAAGTCAGTAGTATATAGAAGTGCCATGACCAAGTGGGACTTACCCTGGAATGTAAAATTTATTATCCAAAATATAAGTTAATGTAATACATCATGTAACTTAAATAAAGGCAAAAACCAACCTGAGATTATCTCAATAGATGTAGAAAGAGCATTTGGCAAATTGAAACAATTCTTCATGATGAAAGCACTCAACCAACTAGAAAGAATTTCCACAACCTTATGAAGTGTCTGCAAATAACCACAGCTAATACTGTACTTGAGCAGTAAAAGAATGTTTTCTCCATAAGATCAGCAACAAAAGGATATACGTTCTCACTATATTCAGCATTGTACTGGAGATTCTAACCAGGGAATTAGACTAGAAAATGAACTAAAAGACATTCAGATTAAAGATGAAGAGACAAATCTCTATTTGCAGATAACATAATATTGTATATAGAGAATCCTAGTGAATCCATTACAAAACCATTCCAATTAAGAACATTTTAGCAAGCAAGGTTGCAAGATACAAGATCAGTATATAAATTCAATTGTATTTCCATGTACTTGACTGGTGAACAAATTAAAAGTTACTTTAAAAAAAAAGTAAAGTATGGAGTAGATTTTATTAAAGAAATAAACACTATTGTTTATACTTAGTTGATTTTCAACAAGAGTGCCAACTTAGTTTAAGTGGAAATGGAAAAGAATAGTTTACTCAACTGATCATGAGTACTGACTATCCACATGTTCTATTTTTTTTCCTTTTTAAAACAAAACTGACTTTAATCCCACACTCTCTCCCACCGAACTCTCCATTTCTAACATCCATCCCGTTTACCTGTTTCCCTTTGTGAAATAACCTCTCAAGAGATTTTTCTCCACCTGTGGTCTCTCCCATTCTCTTTCCCTTTTTTTAATTTAGCTGTCTTTACCATTCCACTGAAAGTGCTCTTGTCAGGATCACCAACTATTTACATGCTACCAATTGAAGTATAAATTGTGCCCTTACTTAAATATCCTCTCCACACAGCTGACATTTTGTTTTTCTGTCTTTGGACTTTCAAGGAACTCATTTTCCAGTTATCTTTCTTACTGGCCACTCTTTGTTTCCCATGATGCCTTCTCCTTGGAGAATCATAGAGTTCCTTTCTAACTCTCTTTTCACTCTCTGACTAAGTAGTGGCATTCACTCTCACTGTTCTTAAAACCATGCACATGTAAATATCTCAAAGTTATTTCACTCAAAGAGACTTCTCTGAGTTCTGTTTCTGAGAACTTTCCTTGTATATTCATTTGGAAATCTAAGCTGTCTCGGGGGAGGTGAGGGATCACATTGTGGATTGGCTCATTTAAACTATGCTTTATAATTATATTAAAAACATATAGTAGATATAATTCTAGGACTTAAATATCCTTTTTTTTTCTGTCTTTCTCTGTACCAAGGACAGTTCTTCAATTCCCAATTCAAAACAAAATGTGTATCTCCTACTGAACGTCCCTTCTAATCTTCAGATTTATTTGTTTAACTGACTAATTGATATATATACTTAAATCTTTACCTCTCCCTTAAGTTCTTTTCATTCTTCAGGTCCCATCCTTCCCAGGGGAGCCTTTTATCCATCCTTCCATTTTATTCAAAGTAGGGCTCCCTTGTTATTCTGTACATTGTTTTTTTCTTTTTCAAAGCCCAATTTATAGTTATTCCTGGCTTATTTTTGCTTCTCCCACTTGACTGTAGGCTTCAGGGGCAGAGATCTCTGTTTCAGTCACCACTGTATTCAGTTCTTTCACAGTGCCTGACACATACTAAATACTTAGTAAAAATGTGTTCAGTCATATACAGTGTTGTAAACCAGTGTTACCTCAGTAAAAAACAAAATAGATATAGTAAATCAACAGTAACTTTAAGAAAATATATTCAGAGCACACAGACAGACTGGCAAGGCAGTCCAGTGTGCGGGGCACTGACAGAACTGTGTAGTGAGTGTGAGGGCAGGGGACACCCAGCAGGGTGTAGACACAAGTGGACAATTCACTGGCTGAGTCCAGTGTTGCTGGGTCACAGGAACCTTAGGGGTGGTAGGCAAGCAAGAGCTGACGCTCACGCAGGAAGGTCTTGGGTCCTGGAGCCCTTCAACCCTCATCAGCTGGGCTCGCATTTCCTGCTCAGCACCTTGAAAAAAGCTCCACAATCACAAGTCTTCCTTTCTCCATTCAGTCTCACCCCCTAAGTAAACATATAAACCAACATGCTAGATAGTCACTAAAAATATTTCCATAGAGAAATATGGGAATTTTAATTACATAACATGAAAGTAAATGAAAAAAAATCAGGATATAAAACTGAACATATAATATCAACAGATTAAGAACACTGAAAATTTTGGGGGGAAAATGGGTGCCCTCCTTGGTGGCACAACAGGTTAAAACACAGCACTACGAAGCTATCACAGCCATTGCAGCACCAATTCAATCCCCAGCCATGGAGGTGACCCACATGGTGTGGCAGACCTCTCCTGACCCACCCCTGCCTCCCGCTACTCCCCTCAGCAGTGTGTTTCAGTACATCTGCCTATTCTGCTCCCTACTCTGTCTCTGGTGAATCCTCTCACCCCCTGCATCTCTGGCCAATACCCAAGATCTTGTATGCATAAATAAATCTTAAAAAAAAAAAGGCCAAAAATAGAAGTATAGTAGTCTCTGAATAAATAAATTTCTAAATATATATATATATACATATATATTCAATTTTATATAAATGTATATATTCAATTAGTCGGTCATCTCACAAGAGAAATTTATATGAAGTCCTTTTTTTATTATAGACAAATGAGTCTAAGTGTTAACACTGCTTTTCATTCTTAATACTACGAGTCAACTACTGACAACACTGTACATGTTTTTATCTTTTAAGGACTTTTAGGATCATAGTGAGGTCTTTAGCTACTTGTATATTTTATGTTAAAGGAAGTAATTTTTGTCATTTTATGAAATCAATGTTAAATTTCTTTTTTTCCAGGATGGAAGGCTAACATTTTATCCACAAAATCAGGTAGTGAAACTTCCTTTTATCAACTTCATGAAAGCACATGGTACTTCGTTTGTGAATGCCTACACAAACTCTCCAATCTGTTGCCCATCACGTGCAGGTATGAACATGCCTCATATTAATGAGGAAAAAGTGGCCACATTCTGAAATATTTTCACAGTTTAACAAAGGACACTAAAAAAGTAGGGTAGTATAAAATATCTGGTACCCTAGTAAAAAATTTTATGCATGATAAGAAATCCTTGACTATATAAGTAAATTAGGAAAGAACCATATTTTCTGAACAGTTCTTTTTCCAAGGAAATTTTTGAGGTATAGTACAGGGAATTGGAAGGGGGGTCATCAGAGCATGCCACAAAGTAGCTAGAGTTTCTCATATACCAGATTTATCTAATTGCCATATTACTTCAAATCATGTACTTTATCTCTTTCTCTTAAATACCAATTAACATCTTGTCCAACTCTAATTATTCACTTTTATTATAGGCAAATAGGCATGGTTTTAATAACAAAATGTCAGTGACATAAGCCATGTGTACTTGGGAAATACAGTGAAATTTCACAACTTCTAGCTATGAAAGTTACTTTACCTTTTCTTCTTTCTAGTTTACAATCACTTACCTTGAAACCATAAATAGCAACCCAACAATTTGCTTGTCTGTAACTTCCTGAACATAATTTTCTCTGTGATTTGAATCACAAGGACTTTGACCTGCATTTTCAACGTTATCAACTCTATAATCACTGATTATTAAAGGAAACCTAAAGTAAATTGTAATTGGTATATCTTTGTTGGTGGTGTTTTATTGGTACCCTCTTCAATTTCTAAAAAGTGTGAGGATAAGTAGTTCATCTTTGAAGGTTTGGCAGAATTCACTGATGAAACTGTCTGCTCTTGGACTTCTGTGTTTTAGGAGACTGCTGGTTACTGAGTAAATTTCCTTGTTTGAGATTCATTTGCTTTGGTTGTATGTTTCTTCTTGGCTTACTCTTGAAAGTTTGTATGCTTCTAAGTATTTGTCCATGTCTCCTAGATTATCAATTTATTGACATAAAATTCTTCAGAGACATAATTGTCTCTATGAGCCTCTGTATTTTTATGCTACCTGTTGTAACTTCCTCTTTCATTTTTGATTCTATTAGAAAATATTTTCCCTTTTTTTCTTAATGAGCCTCGCTGGAGGTTTATCTATATTCTTTATCTTTTCAGAGATTCAGCTTTTGGTTTCATTGCTCTTTTGAACTGTCATTTTTAATTTCTATTTATTTCTGCTCTGATTTCTTTTTATTATTTCTTTGCTCATATTGATTTTGGTTTCATTTGTTACTCTTTTTCTAGTTTATTAAGTTGTAAGATTAGTTTATGTATTTGAGATTGCTTTTATTTCTTAATTATTTCTTAGGGTTGCTTTTGCTGTCTCCCATAATTCTGGTGGCTCAGATTTTATGTTTGCCTCTCTCTAGGTTTGTGATTTGTTTCTTCTTTGACTTCCTTATTAACTGAATGGTCATTCAGTAGCATGTTATTAGTCTCCATATATTTGAACATACTTCTTTTTGCCTCTGATATCTATTTTGATACCATTTTGAACAGATGATACTTGATATAATCTAAACCTTTTTTTCTTAAATTTTAAAAGGAAAAGAAAAAAGAAAAAGAGAGGCATGTACATAGTTACAGGTACATAGGAGAGCTGCCACTCTGCTTTGCAAAGAGAAAAGGTGAAAAGATATTTCAAATTTCATGAACATATTGACTTATTTTTTTGACCCAATACATGGTCTTTTCTTGACAATGAAATATAAGCACTTGAGAAAAGAATATATTCAGATTTTGGAGGTTGCAGAATCTTATTCTTCTATTAAATTTATCTTAAGTTCATCTGCTCTAATTTCTCATTTAAGACTCTTGTTTTCTTGTTGATTTTCTGTCTATTGATCTGTCCACTGATGTAAGTAGGGTATTGAAATCCCCTACTATTTTTTTTTTTTTTTAAGATTTATTTGTACATACAGAACTGGGGGTACAGGCCAGAGGCTCAGGGGCGGTGAGAGGCTTCACCAGAGACAGAGTGGGGAGCAGAACAGGCAGATCGACGAAGTACACTGCTGAGGGGAGCAGCGGGCGGGTCAGGAGAGGTCTGCCACGCCATGTGGTCTCCTCCTGGGCAGGCGGGATTTGAACTCATGCGGAAGTGGCTTTGGCTTCTCAGTGCTGTGCTTTAACCCGCTGCGCCACCAGGGAGGGCCGAAATCCCCTACTATTTTTATGCCTGGTTAAATACCCATCTTATGTTTCTGATGATCCTTTACTTAATACATATATATTAATGAGTATGATGCACTACTGATGTACTAACCCTTAATATTACATTATGTCGACCCCTATGTCTTACTGCCTTTTTTAGCTGGAATTCTATTTTATCATATGTAAGTCTGGCCATCCCTGCCACTTTTATGGTACCATTTACTTGCAGGATTGCTTTCAAGCCTTTTGAGTGGATATTTTTATCTTTGGAGCTTAGATGAATCTCCTGGAGACAGCATTAAGTTGTTTTTATTGTTTTTATTTTTTCTGAACTGACCAGATACTCTACACCTTTGGTGAGTTCAGTTCATTTTTATTAAGGGTGATTACTGATATATAAGGGCTTATTGATGCTATTTTTTAATTGTGTTTCTGGTTCTCTATTTTGTTGTTTAGTTTTGTGTGTGTGTGGGTGTGGATTTTCTTCAGTTTAGACGAGCGCTCCTTTCAGAATTTATTGTAGAGGAGGTCTACTGCTAATAAACTCCTTTAGATTTTGTCTTAGAAGGCGTTTCTCCTTCATATTTGAGAGTCTTGCAGAATCAAGAATTTTTATCAGGTACTTTTTGAGTATTTTGAAAATGACATTTCATGTTCTCCTTGGCTGCTGAGTGTCTCTACTGAGAAGTCTGATAATAACCTGATGCGACTATCTTTATAGGTTACCTGCCTTTTTTTTTAATCTCCCTACTTTCAGTATTCTTTCTTAGTCTTGAACTCTTGGTAGCTTTACTACACTGTGTCTGGGTGTAGGCCTCATTTTATTTAAACAGCCAGGTATTCTTTTAGTTACATGAATCTGTATATTTTCCCCAGCTTTGGGAACTTTTCCTCTAATATTACTTTGAATAAGCTCTCCATTTTTCCTCTCCTCTTCTCCCCTCCCCTTCTCTCTTTTCCCTCTCGACCCTCTCTCTCTCTCTGATACTTGGATACCCATTATCCTTCTGTTGCCTTTCCTAGTAGAATCATACAGTATTTGATGCGCTTCATTTCTTAAGTATGTCTTTCATTTCTTCTTCTATCTGAATCTTTGTGCATTTCTGGCAGCATGGTCACTGATTTAGTCTGTTCTACTTCTATAATTTTTTCTCAAGTTCTTTATCTCAATTGACTGAACACTTAATGTCTTAAGTAGTTATTTTCTTGTTTAAATCTTCAATTCCTTTAACCTTCTATTCTGAACTCAATATTTTTTCTGAATTTTATCTATCTCTTTGATTAGTTAGAATTCTGTCTCTTTTTTAGTTAGATATTCTATCTCTTTGATTAGTTAGAATTCTGCATTTTCTTGTATCACTTTGACTTACCTTTCTGCATTTTCTTCTAGCTCACTGATTTTTTTTTCATTATTATGGCAAATTTGAACTCTCTGTCTGATAAGGACATATAGTCTTCCTTGTCTTTGTAGCTGGATCTGGAGAGTTGTGCTCTCATAGTCCCTTGAATTCTTGCGTTGTCATGTGACTTTTGTTCGACTATCTTGCTACTATAAATTTTCCTATTTTCTAAATTTGTATTACAGTAACTTAGAGAATTTAGCTGCTTTCACTTGTCCCACAGGTTTGATTTGATTTGATTTGATTTGACTCAGTTGCTGAGTCAGCAGGGTAGGTAGGGAGTTGCCTGGGTGAAACCAGCTGCTGGTGGCATTGTGCTTTGGAATGAGCTGGGGGAACTGACTTGTGTTTGTGGCACCATTGATGAGCCTCTTTTTTGGGGTTCCATACCTGAGACTTAGCAGTCTGTGCACTGTGTCCTTCATGAAGTCAATATGAGTCCTGAAGAGATGAAGGAAAGGGAATGCAATCTAATGCGCTTTCCTGTTCTTTTCCTTACAGTAAACCCTGCTTGTGTGGAACAACCCATGTTCTCTGTACTGATTTTTTCCCTCTTTGATGTGTGGTAACTCTCCCCACTCTCCCCTCAGCTGAGCCTGCAACCATGCCATCCACATCACCTGCCCTGGGCTGTAAGCTCCATGTGGCTTTCTCCATCTACTTCCTATTCAATGATATGTGACTATCTTCTATGCCTCCTCTGTGCAGTCTGTGTCAATCTCCAATGTCCAAGATGTGCTTCTCTTCCCCTCTAAGCCTTGAATCTCTCAGTGTAGTGTCCCTCTGGTAAATTTTATGGTTTTCTCAGGAAGTAAGCATGGAACTTCCTCTACCACCATCTCAGGAAATATATCTGCCCTCGGAGTTTTGAAGGAATAAGCAAGACTTGAGATCCAAATTTATGACTTGAGATCCAAATTTATGCCTGAGTCACCTGACTTGGAGGAGCATCTGGAGACGAATCACAGTTCTTTCCTCATTGCAATAAGTGTCTGACTCCATGTGTCTTTTTTTTACCTTATCACTATAAAGGTCCCTCTTAGAACTGCTTTTTTTTTTGAAATCCAAGTAGTTTTGGTGTATTTCACTTCCGTTTTCATCCCAAGGCTATTTTTTGCATAGTCTTTATTTGTTTTTTGACACAGTGGTTATTCAGTAGCAGGTTGTTCAGTCTCCACATTTTTGTGAATTTTCTAGTTTTCTTCATTTGATTGATTTCTAGTTTCATACCATTATGATCTGAAAAGATGCTTGATATGATTTCAGTCTTCCTATCTTAGGTGACTTGTTTTATCTCCTAACATATGTCCTGGAGCGTTTAGGAAGAATTTTCAGTCTGTTGATCTGAGATGTAATATTGTCTGCTAAGCTTATCTTGTATACTGTATAAGTTAAGTCCATTATTTCTTTTTGATTTTCCATCTACATAGTCTAGTTCATTGTTGATATGGGATCTTGAAATCCCTTGGTTTTCTTGTATTGTTGTCAGTTCTTATACCTGTTAATAATTGAAAAATGATTTATTAAATAATCATAGAGAAAATGAGAGATCATAAAATTTAAGATTCTTAATTAAATAATTGTGGAAATCCAGTATAAGGAAAAGGAATAGGAAAATCTTTAAGCACATTGGAGAAATGAGAATTGACTTGGCTGATTAATTGATTTGGAAAATTAAGCAATAGATAATACTCACTGATTATTTTTATGGTTGAAAAAAGACTCTTGTATTTAATTCTAACCATATCTACTTCAAGTAACTAAATGTCTGTTCCTTAGAGACTCACTTATAGAATGGAAATAGTAAATCTTTACAAAGCTCCCTCTTGATTAAATAAGGTGAGAATCAAAAGTGTTCAGTAAAGTGCATAATACAGGTATGACTCATTCCAAAGTATGTGCTCTAAATTAGTAGATTTTCACTCATGGAGTATCTGTTAATAGTTAAAACAAATTGTTAGGTTTTACACTAATCCAAATGCCCTTCTTTCCCCAGCAATGTGGAGTGGCCTTTTCACACACTTAACAGAATCTTGGAATAATTTTAAGGGCCTAGATCCAAATCATAAGACATGGATGGATGTCATGGAGCAGCATGGCTACCAAACACAAAAATTTGGCAAACTGGACTATACTTCAGGACATCACTCTGTTAGGTAAAAAATAAAAAATTTATAATACTAATGAGCTGCCTTACGCTACGACACATACATATACTTATTTTTACTTTTATTTCTTCAGAAAGGTTGATCTTTTAATCCCTTATTTAATTTGACTAAAACTGGAGCTTCTTTTTAACTTCTTAAAATATTAAAAATTTTGTTTTCAATATTTTTATTTTGTTTTTGGTTATGCTTATTTTTTTTTTAAGCATTAGAGTCTACAATAGTGTCTTTAAAATTATTTACCCCATGGTTTGTTTTGTTTTGTTAGTATTTCCTTTATTACTTACTTTACACTCTGTTGAAAGACTATAACCGTCTTACTATTTCCTTTTGTCATTTCTCTTACATAAGGTTGTTGAGCCTATTTTTTAATAAATCTCCAAATTTCACTACATCCTCAAAAACCAGACAGCAAACAGTGCAGGAGTAGAGCTCTTGAATAAGATTGCCTACTAAACAGTTTTTCTGTTTACTAATCTGCAGTGGAATGATCTTGGGCATATTATCTAAGCTAACTGAATTTCACTTTCTTAGTGTGAGGATTGAATAAAACAACATAGGCAGGAAAATACCAACATAATCAGACCTTAAACGGCTATCTTTGAAAGGCCGGGCTTTTAAAGTTAGCCTGTAGCTGATATCTGGGAACTTAAATTTCAAGAGTGTTCCTTCTTTTCCCTAACTGATATGTGTGATTTAATACATACTAAGAGTGTCATTATTAAAAGAGGAAAGGACAGACACCAAGAAGACAATGTAAAGATAGATAAAGAGGATCATAGCTGCTAGCCAAAGAATAACAAAGATTATTGGGTGTTACCAAAAGATGTGATGAAGCATGTATGTCCCTGAATACCTTGATTTTGGGTTTCTAGCCTCTGTAACAATGAGAGATTAAGTTTCTGTTTTTTGAAGCCACCTAGTTTATAGCAATGTGCTACAGCAACTCTAGGAAATGAAAAGAATGAATTTCGGTAACAAAATATCTAGAATAATCTGCATTAATCTTGTTGTTCTAGTTAATGTTAAATTTCTTACCTTTCCTATTCCCAAAATCTAAATCATACCAGTACTAGAAAACCAGAAATTATTCTGATACCTCTTCCCCATACCTGCTGTCTAATAATCCATTATCAAATGTTGTCAGTTCTACTCCTAAATAATGTGTCTACTTTATTAAATGCTTATCACCACCAAACTATTATCATCTCTAGCCTAAACTATTGAAATAGCCTTCTAATCAGAATCTCCTTTTCTTCTATCTTATTTATTTTCTATAAGCAGCTAGAGTTACATCTTAAAATACATACCTGATCAAATGTCTTACTTGCTTAAAATCTTTCAATGTTTTTCTTTTCTTTTTCTGTAGGTAAAGCAATAGTCCTAATTCACAACATGATTTATAAGATCCTTCAGAAGGTAGCTTCTGCCTATTACCAGTCTTTGAATACCATCGCTTGTCCTTAGTATTTTTAAAAATATTTTTAACATGCATCTTAGTACCTTAGAACCATTGCACAAGTTAGTCTCTATGCAAAATTCCCCACCCAGATATTTAAAACAGAAAGGGAGGGTGTAGGTAGTATGGGGGGAGAAATACATATTTGTAGCAGTCAGTTGCCCAGATTCCCTACGTACCATCCTTGTGACCTTGGCAAGTTACTTGACTTCTCAAAGTGTCAGTATTCAAACTATAGGTTGGAATTAATACCTGTCTCATTGGGTCACTATGTATTTTAAGTTATTTAATGTAGAAGATCACATATAAGGGTTAAATAAGATAATATTCAGAGTAAGCATTTAATCAAGGGAAGAGATTATTGTTAGGAAAATGACTTAATTATCCCTCCCTGGTGGTGCAGCGGGTTAAAGCACAGCACAAATGTCACTTCAGCATGAGTTCAATCCCCACCCTAAAGTGATCCACATGGCGTGGGAGACCTCTCCTGACTGGCCCACTGCACCCCTCAGCAGTTTACTTCTCCAGCTAGCCTGTTCTGCTCCCCACTCTGTCTCTTGTGAATCCTTTCACTGCTCCTGAACTTCTGACCTGTACCCCAGTTCAATGTATAAATAAATAAATCTTAAAAAATAATAATGATTTAGTTGGGTTGCAGTTCAATGTTACATAGCTCCTTATTTTTCTTGACTGTTTCACATTCCTGTTTACTTCAGAGAGTCTTACAATTTTTCTGTTTAAATTTTTTTTTTCCTTTTTAGAAGGCACCATTAGCCTAAACTAAAATACAACTGTTAATATCATCTGATTTGAAATATCTGATTTCCTCTTTGTTTCAATTCAATTTAATAAAAGGAACCTAAGGCTGAATGTCTCATATTCCATGCAACTATCATTCTTTGTGTAAATGGCTAAAATATGGCCAGAATATTTTTCTTCAGTCGCATAATAATTCTTTGAGGGCAAGAGCCTCATTTTATTTTCACAGTTTTATCCCTATTGCCTTCATAGTGCCAACACATTATCAGTACAAATCGGTGAATTAATGGAATAAAAAACCATATTGATCTACTTATAACTTATTATTTGATAATAAACACTGGTGTTCTCTTTAACCCAGGGACATGAACCTAGTTCATTATTAGTATTCTGAATATATCCTCAACTAATAGACTATATCCTGTTTTTCACTTTTTAATGTTTTGAATATCATTAATTTTCAGAGGCTTTTTTCCTCTTGTGAAATTATAAATCCAATGAAATACCCACTTAAATTAATATTTAAGGCTCTCCCTGGTGGCGCAGCGAGTTAAGGCACAGCACTGAGAATCTAAAGCCGCTTCCCGGTGAGTTCGATTCCTGCCTGGCCCGGAGGTGGCGTGGCAGGCCTCTCCTGGCCCGCCCGCTGCTCCCCTCAGCAGTGTACTTCGTCTATCTGCCTGTTCTGTTTCCCGCTCTGTCTCTGGTGAAGCCTCTCACCACCCCTGAGCCTCTGGCCTGTACCCCAGTTCTGTATGAATAAATAAATAAATCTTTTAAAAAAAATTGCTATTTAAGAAGTCAAAAGTAGTTTTTAGTATAATTTTCACTTATACTCTCACCAAACTCTTAGCAAACTGAAATAAGCTATGAGGACTACTTGAATGTGTATTGTATGTACCCACACAGTCAGCTCTCTGACATATAGGTCAAAGTTGATGTCAGTAGCATTTCTGAAAATGTTATGTGAGTTACATCACCTTTAGGATTTTCCTGTGCAAGATATTAATAGTGGATCTCAGAAGACAAATCTGTCAGTATCGAACTTCATAAACAGGCATGCTTTGTATGTTTCATAGATGACTCTCAAAAAGTCACATTTTGATAACTGCACTCTGTTTACAACTAAATTTGGCCCTTTTTTTAACCTGATTTTATGTCCGGCTAGAATTATGTTTTATTTTTGTTTGTTTGTTTGTTTTTAGTTTATTACCACAATACATCATCATCCTTTTTAGGCAGCAAGTGGTCATTTCTATTTGTACTAGTTTAGAAACACTCCTCCAGCTCAGTGTCCCTACTTCAGGAGAAATACTAGGAATACTAAGAATCACAAACATATTTTATTTTACTAAATATCTTGTTATAAAAAAGTAACCCTTTTAAATGATTAAGTTTTAAAGAACATAAAGATGAGTGTTCGGCTCTTGTTATTTTCTTCCCAGTTTTTTAATTTGCAGTGTTCGATAACTTTCTTAAGTATAACCTTGTTTCCAGTATCATTAGTTGCACTTTTACATGACTGTCTAAAAATTGTTTTCCATACTGCTTTCTTATGCTTAGTCACTTTTTAATACCTTACAACAACACCCCTCTATTTTTCCCACAGCAATCGTGTGGAAGCATGGACAAGAGATGTTGCTTTCTTACTCAGACAGGAAGGGAGGCCTATGATTAATCTTGTCCCTAAAAAATCAAAAGTAAGAGTAATGGAAGAGGACTGGAAGAATACAGACAGAGCAGTAAATTGGTTAAGACAGAAAGCAATTAATTACACTCAACCATTCGCTTTATACTTGGGGTTAAATTTACCACACCCTTACCCTTCTCCATCTTCAGGAGAAAATTTTGGATCTTCAACATTTTACACATCTCTTTACTGGCTTAAAAAGGTAAATGTGCAATATGTCTGCAGAAGTAGAAATTAACATTATCTTTGTATGTTATTGGTTTTTTTCTCATTTTTTTCTTTTATTTCTGTTAAAGTAAAATTAGAAAGTTGTATATTTTCTTCAAGTCAAACTGGTAAGCAAACACTAAAAGGACAATCTTATAGAAATAAATGTGTTAAAACTCAGAAACTCATCCAACTTCGGAGTTGAGTACATTTGCATATGTCTATAAGAAGAGGAACGAAAAAACATTGTCTTAGGAATACAGGCAGTCCCCACTTTTCGTAGGTCAGGGTCATGAAAATGACCTTGCAAGCTAAAAGTGCATAAGGAGATCTTAATTGTCAATTAACATTTTTCTAGGAATCTTAAAAACATGTCAAAAACAATAAAAGAGCTGTTATTTTGGATCATAAACATAGGGGAATGAAAATATGGTAAAACATGTTTATTTAATGCACTGTACATTATATACCCTAGAAGCATTCAGAATTAAAGTGTTTTGGGCTTTTGTAAAGAAAATGAATGAGTAGTTTGAACAGCATTTGCTTTCTCATTTTATAACTCAGATATCGAGTTGAGCATCATCTTATGTCTTTGTAAACTGTCATTTCTTTCTAAATTTACTTATTTTCCAACATTTTACTCTCTCTACTTTCAAAGTCATGCTATATTTCTTAGAGTTCCTTTAAAGTTCTTTATATTCATCTTTGTTGATCAGTTTCCTCTTTTGATTATCCACTTCATAAAAATGTCATCAATTTATCACTGAGAAAAAAAGAGGAGGAATCTCACTACTCTCACTTTCTCCCCTTTTCAGGTATCTTATGATGCCATCAAGATCCCAAAATGGTTACCCCTGTCAGAAATGCACCCTGTAGATTATTACTCTTCTTATACAAAAAACTGCACTGGGAAGTTTACAAAAAGAGAAATTAAGAATATTAGAGCATTTTATTATGCTATGTGTGCTGAGACAGATGCCATGCTCGGTAGGTGGTGTAACTAATAAGCAATTATATGAAGAAAATGTGATAATATTTTCCCAACAAACTGTGATTGTGCTATCTGGTAACTTGTGTAAGCATCCTATCTGGTAACTTGTGTAAGCATCCTCAGACAATTTCCTATAGCAATTGTTTAGATATTTCAGACTTAGAATTATGAGTGTTGATTTGTAAATTGGATAATTTGCATTATTACTAGAATACAAGTCTTTTCTACATTAATTACTCATAAATTAATCCTTATATTTATTCCTGTCTCTGCACTGCCTTATTGTGATTCTCTAACAGCGAGGAAGAAGTTTCAAGATGCTACAGAGTCAAAGGAATTTTATTAGTCACTTTCTCCCTAAGAGTATGCCAAATCACACTCATGTGTTATCTATACTGCTTCCAGCCCTCCTTCAATGGTGGGATTTCCATGTCTCTCAGCCAACTTCATGGCCAGATCTGATGACTGGGAATTGGATAGAAAGAGTAGCAGGGAGAGAGGGGTTCTAATCCCTCTTATCACATCCTATTGTGTAGGAATTAGTTAGGTGGTGATGTCAATTACTGTGCTGATATCCAGCTTAGCTTTCTTTTTTCCTTTCAAATCACTAGGGGAAAAAAAGGTCCCCATTATCTGATAGAAACAGAGAAGCCAGCCAGTATATTCTCCAGATACTCATATCCTCTTGCTGTATACGCTTGCCTTCCTCTCTCTAGTCTATAAAGGAGCAGGCCCATGAGACCTGCTATAACAGATTTAGGAACAGTAGGTGATGATCAGCAGTTAAGAAGTAGCCTGACAGAGGTTTCTCAAACTGCTAGAAATGGAGCTTCCATATGATCCAGCAAACCCACTCCTAGGTATCTACCCAAAAGACACAAAAACACTGATTCAAAAAGATACCTGCACCCCCATTTTTATTGCTGCTTTATTTACAATAGGAAAGACATGGAATCAAATCAAATGGCCAAAAGTAGATGACTGGATTAAAAAGATGTGTTGCATATATACAATGGAATATTACTCAGCAATCAAAAAAGATAAATTCATGCCTTTTGCAGCAACATGGATGGAGCTGGAAGGGATCACGCTTAGTGAAAGAAGCCAGAAAGAAAAAGAATTAGCCTGACAAAGTTTTATTAGGTAGATTTGTTATAAACTTACTGGCTTGGAATAAAATGTGAACTGAAAGCTAATTAAGGTTTATCTTTTAGGTAAAATTATTTCAGCTCTTCGCCATTTAGATCTTCTTCAGAAAACTATTGTCATATACACTTCAGACCATGGTGAACTGGCCATGGAACATCGTCAGTTTTATAAAATGAGTATGTATGAAGCTAGTGCCCATGTTCCACTCTTAATAATGGGACCAGGAATTAAGGCCAATATACAAGTATCAAATATGGTGTCTCTTGTGGATATTTATCCTACTATGCTTGGTAAGTAATGAGATTCTGTAAATATATATTTGTAATAATGCTGGAGAATGAGTACCTAAAGTAGCCAGAGGCTCTGCTGACTTGTTTAGAATTATGAGCATCTTGTTTAACTGAGAGACAATTCATATTTGAAATATGAGGATAATATTCTTCAGGTTCCATTTGCCTTCACTTTCTATAAATCAGTTTTCCTCCAAAAGATTCATAATCAGAAAAGGACTATAAAGTATTTCATGTGAGATGCTCAGATTTAGAACATTATAAATGATAAACTGATTTTCTATCACCACCTCCCTAGAATGTTAAGAATTTTCCTCCTCAAGTATGCCATTCACTTTTAAATTACTAACCTTGTACAGTGTTAGAAAAGCCCCTGAATTTGAATGATATGTACTTATTTCTCCTCAGAATTTTTAGATGGTTCCATATTATTTGCTTTTCTGGCTTCTGAGTGTCTATAAGCACAACCAGAGGTCTAAAACAGCAATATTCAGATGGGAGTCGTTAGCAATATTTCTGAAGATACAGGAATATAACATCATTTCAGAGGAACTTATGTAGAATTATTTATTTCTGCCTAAGTTTGCAGTTTAGGTGCCTTTTTCCTTTGTCCTGAGGCACTTTCAGTTGCAAAAGTATTGTCAATTTATAAACAGATGTTGGTGAAATAAATGATAAAACAACACATGATATATAAATGTGAAACTTATATCTTAAAATTAAAAAATAACAATGATTTTTATCCAATTATAAAGTCTCCCCCTTTATTTAAAGACTGTTGTAGATTCTTTTTTTTATAATTTATGTCTGTATCCTCTCTTTTGCCCTTTAATTTCACAACACGTATATTTGAGCACACTTCTTTGTTGTTCTTTTGCCTGATGCAGCTATTTTATCTCTTCATCATTTTCTGGTTAAGCAATTACCACTGTTAGCCATATTTCTGCTGCTTTTTGGCTCCATCAATAACAGCCCATCCTTATCCTTGTTTTTTCTCATTTCTGTCTTTATAAGAAATGCATATGCAATTATGTATATTTGGTTTTGTTTATGTTTTTAATGTGTTTTTTTTTTTCTTTAAGGTTCATTATTTTATTTATGCATACAGAACTGAGTACAGGCCAGAGGTACAGGGGCAGTGAGAGGATTCACCAGAGACAGAGTGGGGAGCAGAACAGGCAGGTGGACAAAATACACTACTGAGGGGAGCAGCAGGCGGGTCAGGATAGGTCTGCCATACCATGTGGGTCACCTCCCAGGCGGGGATCGGACTCACACTGAAGCAGCTGCAGCTAGCTTGCAGTATTATGTCCTAACCCACTGCACCACCAGGGAGTGGTGCCTATAATATTACCACCTTTATAGTTTTTTTGAAGAATATTTTTGATACAATTTTAAAAATACATGCTTTTCTTCAGTTTTCCTGTTATATCTACTCTACCCCATTTTCTTTTTTAACCCTACCCCATTTTCAAAGGTAAATTTCATCAATCCTACTTGCTTAATTTCTTAGCCTTGTTCTGTTTTCTTGAAGTACAATGATCAGAACTGCAAAAGATTATAAAAGGTGTGGGGTGATTCTGTTTTCCATTAATATAGTTCATAGTGATATTAGGAATTTCATCTTTTTGATGCTAGCAGCTAACATTCAATACCTTTGGGGGCTATCCACACTGAGTTTTTGTCTATACCTAGTCATTCTAAACAGCTTACATGTTATTAATTGATTTACATTGTTTATATCATTTTCCTTTAAACTTGTTTTTATATTTGCCCATGTGCAAATTTTCTGCCTACAATTTTAAGATAACATCATCACTCTTTTTTATTTTATGCATCATGAAAATTAAGTCATTTGCAAATTGAAAGATTTCATAATGTTTTTACCTAACAGATTATGTAAGAAAATTCTAAATAAAGATAGTTGGAATGAGGGAATTTTCACTTACCACCTAGAATGGCAGCTGCCTGTCCCTGACTAGTTTGTGTTCCTTAACAAAAGCATTTCTGTAGCCAAGACAGAACATTCCCAGAAATATCTTTATAGTTCTTCCCCATTCTTCTAGAAATGATGTAGATTCTCTGAAATTATAGGTTTGTTTATTTTTACAATTTGTCAGCGCATTTTTCTAAAAATTATAGTTCCAAGTTCCATGTAGGTTTTTATTTATTTTTATCTTGCATTGACTCCTGGTAATACTTCTTCTGAGTCACATTTCCCTGCAGAATATATTCTATTAACAGCATTCAGATAATGTGTTGATTAGATCTGCTCAACTGGAGTGAAGGAAGTAATGCCAAAAATGAATTTCTCTCTAATACTAAACTGGAAATTTAGCATCTAAAGATTAAAAAGAATTTATAATGTATCTCTTAATAAATCCCTTTATTAGTCAAGAAGAAGAGTTACATTTATATATTGGGCCGGGAAGGGAAGGAGGGAGAATATATGTGCATGCATACTTAGGTAAAATAATGAAACATCCTGTTACCAGATGTTAATCAGTGACAAAGTGAAAAGAGAAAGATGCAAAGGAGTAAACAAGAACCTTATGTTAGAGCCAGGAAGCAATATTTTACAATTTTATTTATGTGAATTAACTTTTTATGTGGACAAAAGGACCTTCCTACAAATTAGTGGGAATGTGATTTGGCACAGCCAGTATGGAAAACAGATGAAGCTCCCTTAAAAAATTAAAAGCATACATTCCATATAATCCAATTATCACTACTATATATTTATCCAAAGAGTCCAACCATACTAATTTGAGGAGCATTGTAACAACTAAGAATTAGAAGCTACCTAAGTGCTTATTGACAGATGAGTGGATAAAGATAAGACATGTACACGTACACACACACACACAATACCATTCATTGTGTGTGGAATACTATTCAGCTGTTAAAAATGAAATCATGCTATTTCTTATAACTTCGTGAAATAAGTTAGAAAAGGGCAAACATCATGATTTCATTCATACAAAGAAGCAAACAAATGAATGTACTAGATGAAACAAAAACGTTTAGACGGTAAGATCAAATTCATAGTTATCAGAAGGGAAGGGGTAAAAAAGATAGGTAAATCGGTAAAAAGGTTCAATTATATGATAAAGGGTAGAACTTAACTCTTAATAAGGTAGAGATTATAACTCAAGGTTTAGCCTTAGTGCTTGATTATAGAATTGAACATAATGTAAAATAGTATAGTCAAATGTTTATTTATGATAATGCTCTCCTGAAATTTATATAATGTTACAATGCACTGTTAACTTCAATAAAAAATATAATTATAATAAATCCTTTTTAGAGTTCTTACAAATCTATGAAAGAGAAATAGCCTATTAACAAACTGACCAAAAGATATAAACAAGCAATTCACAACAGAAAATACATGAATGGCCAAGATATGTGTGTGTGTGTGTGTATTTGGCCAAGATTCTTTTTTTCTTTAAAGATTTATTTATTTGTGCATACAGAACTGGGGTGCAGGCCAGTGGCTCAGGGGCAGTGAGAGGCTTCACCAGAGACAGAGTGGGGAGCAGAACAGGCAGATCGACAAAGTACACTGCTGAGGGGAGCAGCAGGAGGGTCAGGAGAGGACTCCACGCCATGTGGTCACCTCCAGGGCAGGCGGGGATCGAACTCATGCGGAAGTAGCTCTAGATTCTCAGTGCTGTGCTTTAACCCGCTGCGCCACCAGGGAGGGCCCGCACCTTCTTGTTTTAACATTTTTTCTGACTATAAGTCTGAACCTTTAACAATATCTTGGCCGGCCCTCCCTGGTGGTGCAGCGGGTTAAAGCACAGCACTGAGAATCTAGAGCTTCTTCCGCATGAGTTCGATTCCCGCCTGCCCCGGAGGAGACCACATGGTGTGGCAGACCTCTCCTGACCGCCCGCTGCTCCCCTCAGCAGTCTACTTCGTTGATCTGCCTGTTCTGCTCCCCACTCTGTCTCTGGTGAAGCCTCTCGCCGCCCCTGAGCCTCTGGCCTGCACCCCAGTTCTGTATGCACAAATAAATAAATCTTTAAAAAAAAAAAAAAACAAGAAAGTGCTATTTTTTTAATGTGCAATGGTTAAAAGATTTATAAAATGTTATATTGAAAATAACCTGTTTTACTCTTTTGGGAGTAAACTAACACAGATTTTTCTGGAGGCAAGTGTAGTATTGGGTCCAAATTTCTTAGACATATGCATACGTTATGACATGCATATTTTAATTTTAGAAATAACCTATGTACAAAGTTTCATCCTTATGGATATTTATTACAGAATTAAAGAATTAGAAACAATATATCTAGTAGTAATGGGCCGGTAAAAAAAATAATAAAATCTTACCTTAAAAGATGAAATGATATTTAAAAATGAGCCCCCTCTAGTACTAAGAAGAACATATAGGCTATAAAATTGTATAAGCAGGTTTTGGGATTTTGTTTGTTTGTTTATCGAGATAAGGTGGCAAATTTATTGTCCAATTCAGTACTGCTAAGAAAATACTAATGACAGTTTTATCACAAACTCAACTGTTGCCTTGCTGAGCAGCCTTATCTAAAAGCAAAGATAAATCTGACAGTCCATGTTTAATCTGATGTTTAATTCAACCTTTGAAAATGAAATCGCTCAGTGTTAGAAGTTGAAAGCAACTTTAGTAATGATTAACTCCAAAATTAGACAGTATAGTCTATTTTACTTTTGCTTAATAAACAAATATATAGCTTTGGATCAAGTGTGGACTTCATTGTGGTTCTTCTAAGCAATTAGGAACTTAAAATAGACATAAAGCAATCTATTCTTAGAATTCTAAAGGTTCATTTTATAGCTAAACCTACATTATTTTATATTAATCAAATTTAACAAAAACAGTATGGGATTAAATTTCTCATATCAAGCCCTCAAGCCAGACTTCCTCTTCCTTCCTATTATGTGAACCTTAGAAGTATTAAATAAAAGGTGGTGATTTAAAACACCTTTAAAAGAAAGATATTGAAGTGGAAAACCAGTTGGGATTCCTGTTTTATTAAACCTACTTTACTACATTGTTAGAATAATTGCTGCACTGCTTTTATTAAAAATTCTAATTTTAGAAGTAGTTTTTAGAGGTATTTTTAAAAGTTTTCTATAAAATGATGTAATATGATAAAATATGAAAAAAATCATAGTCTACTTATCCTAATAGGTCCTTTCTAGTGTACTATCACATTATCATTGCCTAATATTGGCAGAAAAGTGCCAGTTTTACAAATAGGAGTTCCTTATACTTTTAAAGATGAGATCATTATTTCAGAGTTGATTCTTTTAAAATATTTTCTTCTCTGGCCCTCCCTCATGGTGCAGCAGGTTAAAGCACAGCACTAAGAAGCTAAAGCCACTTCTCCATGAGTTCAATACCGCCCCGGAGGTGACCACATGGCACGGCAGACCTCTCCTCACCTGCCCACTGCTCTCCTCAGCTTCGTTGATCTGCCTGTTCTGCTCCCCACTCTGTCTCTGGTGAAGCCTCTCACTGGCCCTGCACCTCTGGCCTGTACCCCAGTTTTTTATGCATAAATTGATAAATCTTTTTTTTTTTAATTCTCTTCTCTAATGACTTAGTTCAGTTAGAAATACAGGTAGTCTTATTTTATCATTGTTTTTAATTTTCCCTTTTACACTAATTATTTTCCTGAGAATTTTTTTCTTCAAATAGCTGATATTTTTGTAAGGCATATGAAATAAGGGTTTCAAAATATTTTAGGTTATTAAGATGCTACAAACGTCCTATAGCCACAGCCGTGGGAATTGGTTTCTAATTCCCAACTGTTATCTAAGGCTTCTCTTCCTTCCGGCTCCTTCTAGTGCTGCCACCTAGTGACTGATACGCAGACTTGCCTCACCCCGCCTATCCCCTAATTTCTACTTTATTAAAGACCTTGCAATAGTAACTAATAGTCATGTGGCGCTATTATTTCATCTTATGCACATCTTTCTTTTCTCTTTCTCATATTGTTTTTACAACTTCTATCTCAATCTCTGTCTCTCTCTCTCCTCACTCCCTCTCTCTCTCCAAAACATTTCTAATTGTGATTGGTTAAAAGATAACTACATGCCCCTTTCAAGGAAAATTGATGATACAATTTTTTTTATTAGGTTGAATGTAAAACAAGTAACTTTAGATTTAGAGAGGTTTTTTCCTCTACTTTCTTGTTCTCCTTTAATTAAATTTTCTCACAAATACTTGAAATCAATCTTATTCTATTTTAATTTCTAACATTGTAGATGAATTTTCTGTATTTGTATTTTTCTCTATTTCTTTATGATGTCTTTCTATTTGATTGTAAATATTTAATCATACCTTAAAATATGATCCACTGAGCCAGAAAAGGGGTAAAGTGTCAACTCATTCAAACTATCTCAAGTACCTAGCCATAATTAATGCCAATTATTCTATAGGAAAAATATAATTTTAATTCCAAGCAAATACCTAGAATACAATTTTAAAAATATAACCTGCCTTTAAGTTGAACAGTTCTCATGCCATTATCTTAAATGTATATACTTGAAAAGGAAAAAAAATAATTTTTCCCTAAGTCAGTATAATCCAGGGTATCAGAGAATATGTTCTGCAAAATACAAGCCCCTCAACATGTTACTGGGGAGCAAAAAAAAAGTTCTGTCATTTAAACTTTTGAACACATGACATACTGTATACCACGTTAATGTTCTACATCAGCAATAAATTTGCATGTAAAATATATTTGCCTGTTTAATTTTAATCACTGTTTGCAAAAATGCATGACTACTGAACTTCTTTCTTACATAGTTCTTGCTAATATCCTATGAAACAAACTTTGAGAAACAACTTTGATTGTTAATTATTCAGAAGTAAAAGATTGATGACATGAATATTTGTTGAGGGCTTCCTATATGTCAAGCATTGTCCTCAGAATCTTATATAAATTTTCTTAATGAACACATAACATAAACCTATGAAATACAGTTGCTAGTATTATTCCTCTTTTCCAGATGAAGACACTAATGTTCAAGGTGTTTAATAACTTGACCCAGGTCACATGGCTGGTGGGTAAATATATAGTCCTAAGCTGCAGTTTACAGAATCCATTTACAGTCTCTGGTCTCTGTAACCTTTAATCATATGATTTATCAATCTTCAGCTAAGGAAAGGAGTTATTTTAAAATATTGTGTTATTTTCTATCACATAGACATTGCTGGGATTCCTCTGCCTCAGAATCTGAGTGGGTATTCCTTGTTGCCATTATCATCGGAAACCTTTAAGAATGAACATAAATCCCACGCTCTTCATCCACCCTGGATTCTGAGTGAATTCCATGGGTGCAATGTGAATGCCTCCACCTACATGCTTCGAACCAGCCAGTGGAAATATATAGCCTACGCTGATGGTGTTTCAGTCTTGCCTCAACTCTTTGGTAAATTTGTTGATATATTTTTTCTGTGTAGTATTATGTGTGATGAGCTGAACTACTTAGCATTCCTTCAATATCATCATTAAATAAATAAATAGCTGCTTCTTCTCATGCTCAAAAATCTACAAAAAGTTGCCTATGTGAGAAGCAGCTTCTATGCATATCAGCATCTAAATTCCAGAGCAAGTGCCCAAAGCCTTTTGATCTGGATGTCATGGTTAAAACCACTATTTTCTTTGTTTACTGGTGGTTTTTCACAGTCACTTGCTGCTCCCTCTCATTGTACCTCGGTTTCAGCTGTCCTGGAGGATTAATACCTGTAGCTCTAGAAACTGATATTCTATATATCTTATTTAATATTCACCCACCCCTACAAGATGGTGCCATTGTCATTTTACAGAGAAGAAGATTAGGGATCAAAGGGATTCAGGTACCTACACAAACTTTCACAGGTCAGTGGCAGAGCTGTGATTTCAACCAAAAGCTGACTCCAAAATCCATGTTCTTTCACTCTACAAAAATGCCTGCTAGCTTCACAGGTCTATAAGTTAATTTTTAAACTTAAAAATTATTAAAAATAATAAATATTATTAAATTTAAAGTTGGGCCCTCCCTGGTGGCGCAGTGGGTTAAAGCACAGCACTAAGAAGCTCAAGCCACTTCCTCATGAGTTCGATCCCTGCCTGCCCCAGAGTTGACCACATGGCGTGGCAGACCTCTCCTGACCTGCCCGCTGCTCCCCTCAGCAGTGTACTTCTTGATCTGCCTGTTTTGCTCCCCACTCTGTCCCTGGTGAATTCTCTTACCCTCCGCATCCCTGGCCTGTACCACAGTTCTGTATGAATAAAATAAATAAATCTTTTAAAAAATAATAATAAATAAATTTAAAGTTGTACTTAACCACTGCAACCTTTTTACACTTAAACTATGTGCAAATGGCATTAACATTTATTTCTCTCTACATTTACTTTCCAGTTAGAAATATTAAAAATTTTAACTCAAAACTGTTTTTTAGGGACTAGACTGAGATTTGACTGTCAAAATATCAGTAAGCGAGACTACCCTGCTGATATTCTCTAGGGCTTATCCATTGACCACCATCAGAGAGGTTCCATCTGAAGTCAGCTAGCAAAGTCAAAATAAATATCTTACTAATACAGTCAAATAGGCTTATAAAAGTTTTTTCCTCAACATACATATTCATTTATTATCTTAAGGAAATTGTCACAGAATTCAATTTACTATTTTTGCATTAAATTGCACCCTAGTTATTTCCTCTATCATCCTACCTCTAAGATATGTTATCTGAAATACTTATCATTAGTCTCTCACTGATAGTGGTTGAGAGTTATTTCCAGGATTTCTTGTTCAAATGAACAGTATTGATGAACGTAACTTTCAAAAATACAATTTTTTGGTAGATATGTAAAGATATAAAGACATAAAGAAAATGGGAACTTAGTAAGGTTATAAGAGAATGATTTGTCTATATTAAAAATCCTCTTAGCTAGAAAGTTTGGGAGCTGTTAAAATGGGATAAAATTAAAATTGCTGCCTTTCTTTTCTGTAAGGCATCAAAAACAGGAAGAACTAGAGCTAAGCTAGCTTACTAATGGCAAGGGGTGAGTGGTTCTGCCATCTAGAAAAAGAAAAGAGGGGGTAATCAGATAGCAGGGTGATGGTAGCAAGAAAAATCATTTGACATACATCGAGCAAGGTGTTTAACCTTTGGCATCTCATTTTGCCATATATACTGTCCTTCACCTTACTATACTAAAAGTAATGGAAAATGAAAACCAATTCTAATATATTATTTGTCACAGAGTAATAGTATTCTAATTTTTTAAAAACAGGTAACAATTTTGACACATTTTTTTCTTTTAGATCTTTCCTTAGATCCAGATGAACTAACAAATATTGCTGCAAAATTTCCAGAAATTACCTATTCTTTGGATCAGAAACTTCGCTCCATTATAAACTACCCTCAAGTTTCTGCCTCTGTTCACCAATACAATAAAGAACAGTTTATCAAGTGGAAACAAAGTGTTGGGAAAAACTACTCAAATGTTATAGCAAATCTTAGGTGGCATCAGGACTGGCTAAAAAAACCAAGGAAGTATGAAGGTGCAATAGATCAATGGCTGAAAGAACTTACTAATCCAAAAGAAAATTTGAACAAAAATAAGAAAATGTTCTAGAGCTCATGTTAAAAGATTATGATCAATTATGTGTTTTAAATAGTCACTTTAATAATTACTGATTTAAGGAATGTAGTTTTAAGGAATGTACTCTCGAAAAGCAATATTCACTGTATTTTCAAAAACAACTACTATCAAGACCTAAGATCTTACCAATTTCTAACAACTTAATAGAAGTTTTAAAAAGATACAAATAAATCATCAAACACAATCAAATACAAATATCTATGTTATAACTTATAAGTAGTGATTGTCAAACTATCCTATATTAATAATATTCAGAGGAATATAACTTTATTATACTTTTTGTATCCTTTTAAAACTTCTATTAAGTTGTTAGAAATTGATAAGATCTTAGGTCTTGATAGTAATTGTTTTTGAAAATACTCTATGGTGAATATTGCTTTTCAAGAGTACATTCCTTAAAACTAAAATCAGTAATTATTAAAATTACATGTCAGTAGTTCTGTTTTCTTCCTCGAAGTGGGTATGTCTAAGCATATCTGGACATGTCTGTTGGCCTAACTATTAAGAACTTGGCTGTTCTCTTTTAGTTATCCAGACTCAACTGTCTCCAGAATGCATCAAACTGCTTATCAGTAAGGTATTTTAAATAGATTTTTCTTCTATTATATTATTTATCTGGTTGTTGCTTAGACAACAGGTCTCATTCTTGTTTGATTATAACATTGACGGGGGGAAGGGGGCAGTACCAGCCAACATTGAATTAAATGAATGATGGATTTGAATTTTGGGCAGTAAACTTAATGGTATATTCATGTAGAGTCTCAGCAATGAACAAATAAATTTAGAGGTGTTATAATGCAGTGTTACTTTGTCTTCTCTTTCCTGAAGCATCCACATGTCTGATACATAGTAGAAGCTTAGTAAATTTTTGATAAAGTAACTGTCTGGGAATTAGTTTTTCAGCCATCACATTGCATTAGAAAACCATTATATTAGGCCATGGTGTGACGGGGTGAAAGGAAGTAGTCACAATAAAGCAGAACCTTGTAGAAACAGTACATCCTTGCAAAACCCCACACAGGAGAGTTGGTTAAAAAAAAAAACTATCATTCTGTGTTTTGTCTTTTTCTCTGAAAAGGTGAGATACTAAATATTTGAGGCTGTGTGAGTCTCTTTCAGAACTAAGTTCTGCCATAGAAGCATGAGTAGTAATAACCAATACATAAACTATATGTTCACAGTTTTGTTCCAGTGAAACTTTGTTGATGAAAGCAGGGATTGACCTATGTGTCACAGTTTGCTTACTGCTGGTTTATAACAATAACTCATAACATTGCTGTAATCTGAAATTCTAATTTAGAAATTGCCAGGCTCTCACCTCCAAGAATCAAGGTGTTTAAAGCTCTCCAGGTGATTTCTTATATGCAGCAAAGTGTGGGAACCTCATTACTCAGATTGTTCTTGGATCAGAGGCATCCACATCATCTGGGAGACTTATCTGGTTTTGTCTTTTTAAAAAAAAATACATTTTGTATTCTTTCTATTGTCTGTGATTTTCCATTTGATTATCAAGGAAAAACTACAAGAACTGATGAAATTGATAAATGACTATATATATATAAAAATCTATGTATATAATAATTATCACTAGGAAAAAGTACAAATTAGGAAAAATATTCCACTCCATAACAATCTATAAATACAATAAATTAAAATGTATAAGCCTAAATGAAAAAAAATTATAAAATGCTGTTCAGTGTACAAGTAAGATGTGAATATGGTATAATAGGATGATTTTGAATGAAGAACCTAATATTGAATTACTGCCTCTCCAGAATTAATGTTTACATCACTCACTGCTGATTTAATCCCAATAAGAATTTTTAATGTGCTAAATGATCTTAAAGGTTTTATGGAGAAAATAATGTATGAAATAGTAGTAAAATTATGGGAAAGGAATATTGAGATGGAAATATTCTTACTAGCCACTGATACATACTCACTGGTATCTGAACTCACTGACTCAAACTGGAAACTTAGTGATAAAAGTTAATGGAGCAAAGAAGAGACACCGCAATACAGAGAGGGTGGAAGAAGTTCAATGTGATCATAGAAAAGGTGTAGACGCTTGTGCTAGAATTGTTACCTTCTATACTGGTCATATATCTGCTATTTATATACAGTAAATTCACTAGGTAAAATTTTAGCCCAATTTTAATTTCAAAGTTTAAAAGCAGAATCCTAATCATTTTTAGTTGTTTTTTTTTCAAAATTAATAAAAGACAAGAAATCACCAACCTAAACAGACAAACCTAAGAAGAATATAAAGAAATACACACCTAACAACCTCCCAAACTGTTAGAAAATACAGATGAGAAAAATCTTGGAAGAAATCACAAAAAAAGAAAAACTTCCCACAAAGAAACAAAAACAAGAATTAAAGCAGCTTTCTTATTAAAAACTGTGCAAACCAATAATAATTATGTACCTTCTCTAAAAGACTGAAAGAAAATTGTCATCTTAAAATTTTACATACCCAGCAATAAAATTACTCAATTATGGAGGTGAACACTGAACATCAAATCAGAGCAAAAGTTGTGTTGCTTGCAGACCTGAACTATAAGAAGTATTAACAGATGCTCTTCAAGCAGAAAGAAAGAAAATAATACTCAGTCCACACAAAGGGAGAAACTAGACTACTCACACCTAAGGAAATGAAAGTGCCGCCATCTCTGTGGAAGACATTTTGGAAATTCTTTGGAAAGCAAAACAGATTACTGCCCAATACATATGCTGGAGAACTGAAAGGAGGTGTTGATGGAAAAACCTGTACACTAATGTTCATCAAACCATGACACACAATAGCAAAAAAGTGGAAACAGCCAGATAATGATTAACAAAAGAATGGAGAAATAGAATGTGGTTCTATGTGACCCAAACTGCGTAATCCATACAACAGAATATTATTTAGCCATAAAGAAGAATGAAGCATTACTGTTACATGCTATAATAAGGATGAAACTTAAAATGACCCCAAACGCAAAGGCCACATGGACTGATAGGAAATGTCCAGAGTAGACAAAACCATGGAGACAAAGTATGAGGTTTCTTTTTGGAATGATGCACATATTTGAAATTAGTGATAGTGAATACTTAAAGTACTGAATTATACACTTTTAAAGACTGGATTTTATGGTATATGAATTACATTATAGTTTTAAAAAGAAGAACCATGACAAATTATCTGTGAGCATGACAAAAATTCAAAATGATAAAGTTCTTTATTGTTAGGACCAAGGAGAAAAAGATACAGTATTTGTGCCCTTGTTTAGGGCAATTCAGCATCATGTATTCAAATGCTTTAAAACTGTATGTGCTCTGCCCTAGCAATCCCAATTCTAGGATTTTATCTCAAGGGAATAATTGAATGTGTGTGCAAGGATGTATGTGTAGAGATGTTCTTCACAGAGGTACTTATAAAATGAAAATTAGGGAAACCTATACTTAAAAATAGGAGGTTACTGAAATCACTGTAATCTTTTATATCAAACAGACGTTATATAACATTTTTATTGATTGATAGTAAATCTGTTCAAGTATAATCTGAAGCAGAAAAAAGCAGGATACAAAATAATGTATATAGCATGCTCTATTTGTAAATATGCAGATCAAGTCACTTAGTCTAAAGGATACCTAAATATTAGCAATTATCTCTGGGTATATGGTAAGTGATTTTGTTGCACTGTAATTTTTCTTCAGTTAATATGTACTATTTATAGAATAACATAAATATTTAATTTTTAAAACATATATATCAAGCAGAACATCACCTGTATTGAGACAAATTAGCATTATATGCCTCTGAAATGTACACTGAGGACACAATATTACCTATGTAGAATTTTTGTCCCAAAAGTCTAATCTAAATTTAACTATGCAGAAATAAATACTTCACAGATATTTTGTGAAAAATGGACCCTTCAGACCCAACAGTGTCAAACAATGGGGGTAAAAATGGCTGGCTAACTGTTCTAGGTTTAAGACCACTAAAGAAATAGCATAATTAAATATGTTATGATTGTTGATTATACCCAGCAGAGTAGGAAAAAAAAAAATCCCAGAGCAATCACTTCACTGTGAATTGTCAAAGAGAAGAATCAATAAACTTCTAGATGAGAAAGATAGTGGTCTCCGACAAACTAGGAGTCAGAATAGTTTTAGGCTTCTCACAGAACAGCTGTCAGGAGGTAATGGAGCAATGTTTCTCCAAGTCAAAAGGAAAATGTGTTCAATTAGAATTCTAGCCCCAGTTAAATCATCAGTTAAGCATGAAGGCAAAATAAAAGAGATGTGGGCCCTCCCTAGTGGCGCAACTGGTTAGGATGCAGCACCACTAGATAGCGCGGCCGCTTCGGTTGGATCCCCGCCCCGGAGGTGACCCACATGGCACAGCAGACCTCTCCTGACCTGCCAGTCGCTCCTCTCAGCACTGTACTTTGTTGATCTGCCAGTTTTGCTCCCCACTCTGTCTCTGGCGAATCCTCCCACCACCCCTGCACCTCTGGCTTGCACCCCAGTTCTGTATGCATAAATAAATAAAAATCTAAAAATATATAAAATAAAATAAAAGAGATTTGCAGACATGCAAGATTCCAAAGAGTTACCCTTTCTTTAAAAGCCACTAAGGATAGAAAAAAACCTTTGACATTAGAAACAGGTGAACTAGCTTGAGAGGAGTGACCATAGGAGGAAGGTGAGGATGCCGAGAGGGAGCCATGACTCACCCAGGGGCCAACGAGTGGCTCTCACTGGTATGTCCTCAGCCTCCTTCCAGTCTCCTAACCTAATGACACATTGAATGATGTGTTCTACAAAAGGAGGAGAACCAAGACAATAGTCCAGAGGTTAAAGAAACAGGAACTCCAACCCCTGCTGACTACAAATGAAAGTCTGAGATGACAGTTATGTAGCAGACCTAGACAGAAGCCAGCTCACAAAGAGGAAGAAAAGTGACATCTCTTGTAAGCTTTCTCAGAAAAAAATTGAAATTGTTATATTAGGTTACCAAATGAAGCTTATGGAAACTGTACAA